AGAGATTATAACTTTTTCTTTTTCCTTAGAGCTTAGTCTAGTGCTTAGCAGTGGTCAGTATTTGTGAACTAAAGCTATTACTGCCCTGTGATCTTCTCTTATAACACAAGATGATAAACTTTTCTATAAAAGACCAGATAGTAAATATTTTAAACTGTGTAGGTCATATGTTCTCCATTGCAACCACTCAGCTCTGCCATCATAGCTCAAAAGCTGTTACAAAAAATACTTAAACAAATGGGTGTACAAAACGAGATAATATCTTAGTCCAATTAGAAAAGGTCTTAATAAAAAGTCAAAAAACAGGGTGGGCCTATGGCTCAAAGAAATAGGGCGCCAGCCCCATATGCCAGAGGTTGTGGGTTCAAACTCAGCACTGGCCAAAAACTGCAAAAAAAAAAAAAAAATCAAAAAACAAGGGTGGTGCCTGTGGTTCAAAGGAGTAAGGCGCCAAGCACCATATACCAGAGGTGGCGGGTTCAAATCCAGCACTGGCCAAAAACCGCAAAAAAAAAAAAAAAATCAAAAAACAAGGGTGGTGCCTGTGGTTCAAAGGAGTAGGGCGCCAGGCACCATATACCAGAGGTGGCAGGTTCAAATCCAGCCCCAGCCCAAAACTGAAAAAAAAAGTCAAAAAACAAAAGATGTTGGTGCCGACGTGATGAAAAGGGAACACTTACACACTGTTGGTAGAAATATAAATTGTATAACCTCTATGGAGTCCACCATGGAGATTTCTCAAAGAACTAAAAGTACATTTACCATTTGATCCTGCAATCCTGTTACCAGATATTTACCCAAAGGAAAAGAAATCATTATATAAAAAGGTACCTGTACTGGTACGTTTATCACAGCACAATTCACAATCACAAAGATATGGAATCAATCTAAGAGTCCATCAACTAATGAGGGATAAAAAAAAAAAATGTACACCATGGAGTACTACTTAGCAGTAAAAAAGAAATAGGGGCTTTTGTAGCAACTTGGATGGAATTGGAGGCCATTATCCTAAGTGAAATAACACAGGAACAAAAATTTAATGCTGCTTGTTTTCAATTATAAGTAAGGGCTAAACTATGGCTATACAAGGGTACACAGAGTGGCATAATAGACAATAGACACTCCTAAGGGAGAAGGACTGGAGGAGGTGAGAGATGAACCACTACCTGAGGTACCATGCACATTACTCAGGTGATGGGTATACCCCAAAGCCCAAACTCTACCCTACATAATATATACTTGTAACAGAATTCAACTACCCCCTAAATCTATTTTTAAAAAACCCAAATGGGCATGCGTATGTTCTAATAACATTTTATTTACAAAGACAGGTAGCAGTTGGATTGGCCTGAGGTCTACAGTATACCATCCCCTATTCTAGAATCTCCTTCTAATCTATTTATAGATCTTGAATACAATTATAAAAGGAAAACACCAACCTCTTCGAGATGTTTGTTCTTCTGCATAATCTGCTTGTTTAAGGAAATAACTTTCCGACGATGTAGCTGGGAAGTTCCTAATTTTTCTGGACTTTCTTCAGATGAAAGCTCAGACTGCTGTGGGAAGAATGGAGAGCAGATCCAAAGGATTTAATTAGTTCACTTTGCTTCATGTAATCATTCCTTCTTCAATCTGGACAAAACACTAAAGGGTAGCCAGTCACACCAAGCCAGGGCATCTGCAAAGGCCTGTTCAAAACTCTGATTAAAGAAAACAACAAGGGTACATGTGAAACTTACTAAGTGTAGAATAAAAATGTCTTAACACAATAACTAAGAAAATGCCATGAAGGCTACGTTAACCAGTTTGATGAAAAATTTGTATATAAAACCACACAGTAAGTATTTGTGCACTAAAGCTATGCCCTGTGATCTTCTTCTATAACACAAGATGGTACATTGTACCCCATGACTACATTAATGGATAAGCTATGATTTAATAAAAAAAAAAAAAAAGAAAGAAAGAAAAGAGATTCTGAGACAATGACTAAAATCCCTATCAACATAATGTGCATTCCTGACGGTGGGAACAGCATATGCAAAAGCACAGGGCTATATAACTGTGGTTAGACTGATGTCATATCACCAAAAGGTTGTCAGCAGAGGGTCTTAAATAGGGGAATAATATGATCATAGTAATCACTTCAGAGGGCCATTCTGGAGTTATTAAGAATGAGAAATTGATTCACTTTTATCAAAATAACATAAACCTATGGTTAAAAAGTCTAACTATTCAGCAGGATTTACAATGAAAAGTGAGCCTCCCAGCTAATTCCCCTCATCTATGGTTCCACTCTCTTTTAATCATTTCTTATTTCTTGCATTAACAAGGGATAGACTTGAGAGAGATACAAGTGACTGAAAGAGGCCAAGTAGGAAAATCCTGCAATTGTGTACATGAGGAGAGAATGGAGAACCAACGTCAGGACTGCAGGTAGGTGAGGGAGAGATCTCTGAACTGGCCGATGTGGTGAAGGTGGCAACATTTCCCAAGAGAGGCAGAGTCCTTGTAGAAACTTTGCAAAGAAGGAAGCAGCTTGGTGTTGATACTGAACACAAACGTGTGCCTCAAGACTCCTGTGACAAGACTCAGGAAAAAGAAACAAGAGGGGGAATCCTGCTGTAAGAGTGCCCTTAAAATATTTCTGGATGACTATAGACAGCTTGATTAAGCAAATACTACAACCCTGTCTCCTTTATAGTAAGTATCCAACTCCAAGCTAATCATTGGTTTTAAGCCCAAGTTCAACAAAACTATAGTAGAATCTCTGTAAGTTGACCACCCAAGGGACTGTAACAAACTGGTCAACAGACAGAGGTGGTCAGCATAAAGAACTAGGCCTACTATACTGATACGTACATGTGGTGCATGTTCAGTCTATGAAAATTAGGTCAATTTAGGAGGTGATCAACGTAGGGAGGTGGTCAACTATGGAGGTTCTATTGTATTTGAGTATTTGATTTGTCCTGTGTATTTTAATAGTTGCTAAGGGTGGGGAGCTTGAAAGTCTGGAATATTTACCCATAAAGAAAAGGAATGGGAAAGTAAGAAAGAAGAAAAAACTAGATGGTCATAACCATCATTTATTTTGGTTAAGTATTTTTCAGAATAACTCAGTAGCATTATTAATGGATGAATGATGAATATTTTATCTTAAATCCAGAGTCAGGAAACAACCAGCTGGGTATGACTGCATAAAATAGTAAGGAACCTCATTTTCTATCTTGTGAGCTGGTAGGCAAATATAGCAAATAGAAAAACTAAACATTTGGTATTATAACACATTTAGCCTTGAAACCTGGAACTTTGCAAATGCCAACATTATTTCACTTTCAAGATTTCTGGGAATAAGAGTTAATATTTTAAAATTAATTTTGGACACATCAAGATATTGAGAACCTGTAGTATGGGAAAGGAGAAAGTATTTCTACAAATTATTTGAAGGTATAGAAAGGGGGAGAAAGAAAGCCTGCCCCTCCCTATTTTCAAATCACTTGGCAGAAACACAATTATAATTAACTAATTACATCTCCTCCCTTTTGACCCTAAACAGTGTCATTAGTTTGTCACTTTTATATGCTTTTTTCTATTAATTAAATTCAGCTTTGGATTTTAATATCCAACTTATATTTCTTGACATTGAATTCCAAATTGTCCTAAACACATCCTCAGAGCAGTTTACTTTACTAGCAGAATTAGATAAGCCTTCTATTCATGATTGTTTGCTATTTGAAACAAACCTATTAATAATTCCCCATTCACTGGAAGTACCCTACATGGTATGTCTCTGTGTTTGATAGGAGAATTATTCTTGAGTGTCCTGATCTCGAGCTGCCTGTTTATCTTCCAGACTGCAATGTGGGCAGGCAGGGTCCACTCACTTGCTAGACTTCTTCCAGTCTGCAGAGGCTGAGTACATTCACTGAATTCTGTTCTGAAGCTATGGCATAGGTGGGATGCTGCTTCCAAGTCTAGCAAGTATTCCTGCTAATCAACTGCTCTTATGGCCGAAGTACCAAGAGAATAAAAACTGCCTTCTGCACTGAATTCTATATTCAGCCTCCCTCCTCTCTTATTAGTACATCTGGCAAACATACAGCTTTGTGACCTTCAAACTTCAATTACAAGAACGCTTCTCCCAGGAAAACCAATAGTTGTCTTGTTATCAGAAAAGATTTCCAGGCTGACTGGCTGGCTGGCCATCTCTCTATGTAGATCTGAATTTTGAGTCTCATGTTCCTTCAAGATCCTTTTAGGGGATATGGGAAGTCAAATCCCTTTTCATAATAATACTAAGATGTTATTTGCCTTTTCTATACTCATTGTCTTATGATTATACAGTGAAGTTTTCCAGTTGTTACATGACATTTAATGTCATTGCTTTGATGCTGATATGTAATATACTTATTATTGTTATTTGTAAATGAATTAATACATAAGCTATTGGGTCCTAAGTAAGTTTTAAGAGTCTTTAAATAGGTCCTAAAACTAAAAATGTTGGAACCACCATTTTAATCTAAGGAGGCTGGTTCACTCAGGAATCTACCCACTGACTAGGACAGTCAATATAGTCAACAGAGTGGGCCCACCAAGAGGTGGACCATCACTTATGTAATATTGAGAGGGGAAAAGTTCTTTCTGATTCTCCTCTTTTACTGGGCCAGTAATTCAGAGAACCATTTCAGAGAAAATGCTTACAGTGCATGGAAAAAATCCTGAGGTCTCTATACAAACCTCTATCATACCTCTGTCATGATGGCATATAGTCCAAGAAAACATGAGCTTTCAAATATTTTCTCTTATCGCTAGGTAACAATTTTCAGTGCTCTGTGGAGTCCCTTAAATTTGCATTTAGAAAGCAATAATGCACACTAACATCAGCACATTAAGTGCCATTTCCATATTTGACATTTCCCTAGTCTAATTAAAGAGAATAACATGCACATGTACGTATAAATCTTGAGTTCCTCCATTTACCTTTGAACCTAAAGACAGTGCTATGGGAAACTGCTTTGTTTAATGAAAAGTTATTTTTAGACAAAGTAGTTTATTCTATAGCTAAAATGAAGAGACTTCTTAGTCAATGGAAAGCTGACTGCTCCATTTTTCAAACTCCATTTATTAAATAATCTAAACATTTTTGCTTCTCTCAAATACCAAATACCCTCCTCAAAGCCAAGAGAACTGAGGCCAGTGAAGACAGAACTAATCCTTATAGCAGTAGGGCTCATTCACCAGTTCGTGTACTGAGAGTTAGAATGACAAAGGTGAAGACGACCAAGTTGGATTGTGACTAAGAAGACAAAGTTGGACAGATACAGAAGAGGAGAGGGGAATTTATGCTAAATCTTTCTCAGAAAAAAATTAAATCCTGGGGCACCTGATTTCTACTTGTGAAATGCATTATCTATCAAAGAATGCCAATCATCTACAAATATTCCATCTGTGTTTACACTGGGGTGAGGACTAAAGTGCCAATCTAATTTTGTTCAACAATTTCAGATGAAGAACGTGCTTTCAAAGCCACAGTATGGATTAAGATGATTTCCAGTGCAGATTCAATGTTTTATATAATTGATAGATATTTACAACTTCTATTCTTAGGGGAAACAGATTTAAATGTCATTCAATAAAATTAGTTTAGTTCAAAATGTTAAATTTCTAAGAGAAATGAAACATGATTACTTTAGCTAAAACTATATGCTTTTATAATTGAAAGAGACCCAAAAGGTTATGTACATATCAAACTACTTCCTAAGACAGGGATCTCTCCTATATCACCCCCACGCCCCACCAAATATGGTCATTAAGCTGACAATAACAAAGAACCCCTATCTCATAGTGGTACCAGAAGTTCTCTACACTAAACAGAGAGACTTAGGTTTCTGGCACCTTGACTGAACCTTCAACTGAAACAAGTAAGCAGACCATACAAAATATTTACTTTAATTTTTTATTTTTATTTTATTTATTTATTTATTTATTTATTTTTAGAGACAGAGTCTCACTTATTGCCCTTGGTAGAGTGTCATGGTGTCACAGCTTATAGCAACCTCAAACTCCTGGGCTTAGGCGATTCTCTTACCTCAGCCTCCTGAGTAGCTGGAACTACAGGAGCCCACCACAATACCCAGCTATTTTTAGAGATGAGGTCTCAGGGTGGCTCAGGCTGGTCTCAAACCTGAGAGCTCAGGCAATCCACCCACCTTGGCCTCCCAAGTGCTGGGATTACAGGCACGAGCCACTGCCCTATTTCTTTTTTTTTTTTTTTTGAGACAGTCTCACTTTGTCACCCTCAGTAGAGTGCTATGGCATCATAGCTCATAGCAACCTCAACTCTTGGGCTCAAGCAATCCTCTTGCCTCAGCCTCCTGAGTAGCTGGGATTACAAGCACCTACTACAACCCCCAGCTATTTTAAGAGACAGAGTCTTGTTCTGGTTCAGGCCGGTCTTGAACTCCTGAGCTCAAGCAGTCCACCCACTTCAGGCTCCCAGAATGCTGTGATTATAGGCGTGAGCCACCATGCCTGGCCCCAAATATTTATTTTTAAATTT